ATCGTATGCAAATCCACGCCTAAAAAGGCCTTCAGAGGAAAGCCTTCTCTTCTCGATAGCCTTTCCCTCGCTTTGGACGCAAAGAAACGCGAGTTTTGTAATAAAATCTCTGAAAATACTCTTTATTAACACGATTAGTGATTGGAATGAGATTGCGGTGAAGGAGGGCCCCCCTGTTGGGGGGGTTGTTGTGACATCGGTTGGAACTGCTGGTTCTGGACAACTGGCGCCTGTGGTTGCTGATGGACGACTTGTTGCGGTTGTCCGCCGTACTGCTGCTGTTGCGCCGCCGCGTGCAGCGCCTGTTGCTGTTGTTGTTGGAACTGGTGTTGGATCTGTTGCTGCTGTTGAGCGTGCAGTTGAGGGTTCGGCTGCTGCAAGTGCTGCTGACCGCCCATTGGTTGTTGCTGTCCCGCCATTGGGTGTTGTCCTCCCATTGGCTGACCGATCGGCTGTTGATGGCCTCCCATTTGCTGACCGCCCATTGGCTGTTGGTGTTGTCCCGCCATTGGCTGACCGATCGGCTGTTGGTGGCCTCCCATTGGCTGATGACCGATCGCCTGCTGACCACCCATTGGCTGTTGGTGTTGGCCTCCCATTGGCTGACCGCCCATCGGATGCTGTCCCGCCATTGGGTGCCCGTATTGTTGGCCGTATTGTTGCTGTTGAGCGAAATGCTAAAAGAGAACGCAATTAGTGACACTTCTTCGCTCCTCTGCACTCACTTCTGGCGCCATCTGTTGGAAGCCCTGTTGCGGGTAATGATAGCCCTGCGGATAATACTGCGGTTCGTATTGTTGGTACGCGCCGTACTGGTCGGCCATCTGTTGTTGATGGTGTCGTCCCTGCTGTTGCTGTTGTTGTCGCTGTCGCTCGTATTGTCGCAACTCGTCGTCCGAATAAACGCGCGTTTCGTCCAAACCCTTCCAGCCGTCGTCCCTCTCGAACTCCATTCGCGACGTGAACTCCAGGAACTCCTTCTTCGAGATGAGGCCGTCCCGATTCACGTCGGCCTCCTTGTAGATGTGTTCGCGCATCCGGTGGTACTCCTCCTGCATCTCGTTCGGGTCGTCCTCCGCGTTCTTCTCCGAATACATCTTCCGGATCTCCACCGACAGAATCGCTTCCACTTCCTGCGGATCCAGAAATCCGTCGCCATTCACGTCATGCATAGTAAAGAAGATCTTCGGATTGAACTCTTCGCGCGGCATATGGTCCTGTTGTTCCCACACCTGTTCCAACTGCTTCTTCGAGCCCGGATGGTGGACCCGCGGGTGCTCCTTGTGCTTCGCCTCCATCTCCGCCTTCTTGCGCTCCGTCGCCGCCCTCTCCTCTGCCGTCATGTTATGCAACGCCTCCTGATATCGCAAATCCTTTTCCATTTCGTATTCCTTGAAGTCCTGCCGTCTCTTCGCGTCCAACGCTTCCAAATCCTTTGTCGCCGAAACTATCAGTTTCTGCAAGTCTTGCGCTTCGAACGAATGGGGATTCCCGTGATCCACGTGCTCGGCGTCTGCGCAAACGAAAGGTCAGGTCAAAGGTCACCAAAGGGTTAGGGTTAGGGTTAGTGCCAACCAATGAGCGTCGAGTCGGCGCCCAAAGTCCTCCACCGCCGCTCACCTCCACCCCCAGCGCCCGCCTCCTCCAACGCCTTCTCTTTGCGCGCCAAAGACCGCAACCTCTCGATCTCTATTCGCTTCAATTCATCCAATTTGTTGCGAACGGAATGCGAAACGAAATCCAATTCTCTCGCAATCGCGCCGTTCTGTCGAGGAATACGGGGTTAAGAGGGGATCCGCGCCACAACTGATGCCACACTCACTTTGATCTCGTCCTGCGACACGTTCTCCAACTTCTTGGCGAACTCCTTGTCCTCCTCGAGCGCTTCCACGACTTGTTGCAAATATCGGCCGTATTCCAGACCCTAAGACGTCATCAGAGATCACGTGATTAGAGAGAAGACAAAGACTTCGCAAAGACTACCAAATCGTCGATTTCGGAGCGAATCTTCTGGTCGTCCGCCGCGTGCTCTCCGTCGCCCCCCACACCTCCTCCCACCACAGCCTCCTTCTTGGGGTCCACGGGCGCCGAAAACGCGACCGAAATCACCGAAAAGTAGACCAAAGCGAAGACGAAAAGCACGAGACGAATGTCCATCGTTTCGGTGAACACGTCATGTGAACAAATGTGTTGACGTTCGCCACGTCTGCGCAATACTCACGCGTCTACAAACGCGACGCACAGACTGTACGCACAAAGTATTGCGTTATGTCATTGAAAACTTGTTTTTATCTGTCTTTCCTCAAAATCGTCACTCAATGGAAGGCCAGTGACGGCAGAGAGCGCTCCCCCGCACCCCCGAGAGGACCCCCGGAGGCGACCGAAAGGGCCGACTCGGAGGTCAAGTCGCGGGACAAAGGACTCGCCTCTCATTGGCTGCAGATTTAAAGGGCTTTCAGTCATATGTTTGTCTTTGTTCTCCGCGCCCTCTCGTGGCGACCCTCTCGTGGCGACCCTCTCCTCTGACGTCACGGCTCTCTCTCTGCGACCACTTCCTGACCACAAGAATCAAAACAAAGGCTTTAATTGTAAAACTTTTTATTAGGATTTGATTTTTGATAGACTTTTTGGAGATCTTTAGTCGACTTTTGGCGACAGAAAAGTGACTCAAAATACAAAACGAATGCTTTATATAAATACAAAATGGCGGCCATTCAGAGGTCGCGAGAAGACATTATTTACACATTTCTTGTAATGTTATAAACAATTGTATGAAAAGTATAAATTAATTAGATTAATGTCTCGTGTTTTCTATACATCGAAATGAATTGGCGTTTACGACAACAGAGAATTCAAATAAAACGCTTTCTGCGAGTGAGTGGCCGACGGGTCTTCCGCCGCGACCAATGGCGAGCGGCGCATCTGGAAGTCGCCGCCACCGCCGCCCCCGAACTGGTACCACGAGGAGGGCGACGACGAGGGCGACGAGGAGGCGGTGGACGACTGGGAGGACGAGAGGTGGGAGGAAGGCGGCGACGGCGGTGACGGAAGAGTCATCGGGAGCGCCGAGTCGAAGATGTGGCAAATGGAGCCGTTTTCGCCGATACGATAACACACTTCGTTCGGATCGACCCAAAGGGTCAGTTCGTTGGGAAGGAGGGCGCGGAGGGCGGCGTCCGTTAGACCGCACAGACGGCCCGCTTTGGCCAGCGTCGGGTCCATCTTGTGATTGATGCGCAGACAGCGATAGGCGGAGCCCTTGAAGGGCCGGTCGGGGAACCAGTGGTGCGTATAGTTGGCCAACAAGTGGTCGATGATTGAGAGGCGGAACTGCTCGACGAGCGGAGGTTGCGGACAATGGGAGTGAAGGCGCAGGAGATCAGAGAGGAAGTTGGCGGCGCTTTCGATCTCCACACGCATTGTCTGTCATCGGGTTTGTGGCACAATTTGGTGACAAAGAGTTCTTCGGAAAACTCGCAGTTTTTGTTGTTTTCTCTTCTCTTTCTCTCACAATAATAACCGTTCACTCGATGAGCGACTGACTCTCACCTCTTGTCAGCTGACGTCAGGCGCAGAGCACAGCCAATGGCAGCGCAGGCTTTGACAGCAGTGAGGCCTGCAGTGGAGAGTAGGACTCGTGTTGTGATTATTGTTCGCTCAGAGAGACAGTCGACTCTCGCTATAGAGAGCGCGCAGTGGAGGGCAGAGGGGGAGCGGGGGAGAGCAGGGGGTGGACAGGGGGACAGTGGCGAGAGGGTGCGGGAGGGGGCGGCCCAGTGGTGGACAGCCGTCCAGTGGCCGCTGACCCGCGAATCGCAGGCTTTGCGGGAATTGAGGGAAAGTTTGCGGAAATGTTATGTAATTAACGACTGATTGTATGAAAACTGGTTTCTCGTGAAGTGAAGGTCAGCTCTCTCTCTATTGTTGTTGTTTTGGTCCAAAGAATCACATGTTTTGTGACGTCATTTCAATCAACACTTTATTCAATCAAATTAGTAGTCATGACAACGACTCGGAGGTTAGGCGTAAGCCATGGAAAGCCATCCCATGATGAGAGTGAGGCCTCCCATTGGCGTGAATCGGATCACGGCTTTGTTGCCGCCGCTCAAGACGTGCGCATAACACGTGCCGCAGAAGACCGTCATTCCGACCAATAGGAGGCTTCCGGACAGCGAGGGGTGAGCCGTGAGGGGAACGGCCAGCAGCGCGAGAGAGTGCAGTAAATGGTATTTATTCGCTCTCTCGAAGACGTCTTTGAGTTTCGGCGAAAGAGTCTTACTTTCGGAGACGACGTGCGCGCCATACGCGCCGAGAGCGACGGCCAGAGCGCCCGAAACGCCGGCCAAACGCACCCAAAGACAACCGATTATCTGTCGGAGAGAAGGGCTGAAGACATGGAGAGAGGAATGGAAAGAGACTTACGTTGGGATCCATTACTGCACTTATGATTGCGTTTACAGTTATCTCTGATTGCTGTCAACTCTGAGCCAATCAGAGGTCGAGTTTTGACGCTTTGAATGATTTGTCAGAAATTGAGGAAAATTCTCGAATTGTTTATTGAAATAAATTTTGCGAAAAATACAAACAAAACAACATTTTTATCACAAATTAATACTCAAATAAATACAATAAGCGTTAAAAGGTTTTCGCGAAGAACTCTTCGCATTCCTCGTGAAAGAGTGGCGCGAACTTCAGGAAACAGAAGTGTCCGCCGAACCGGAAGTTCACGACTCGCAGCCAATCGGAGGCCTCCGTTCGCGGCGAACGCTTCCCATTGGCGTCCACTTCCGTGAAGACGCGGCGGTCGTCCTCCGCGACGCCCATCCACTCCAACGTCTTGAGGAACTTCCACTGCGGAAAGAGGCCATCCTTCTCGGCCATCACGAACAGCACCGGGAGTTTGCGGTCTTTGAGCGCTTGATATCTGCGCCGAAAGACGCGTTCGTCGAACGAGAAAACGGCCAAAAACGTCATTCCGAAGAACTGGTCACGTGTTGTGTTGCGGACGAGAGTCTCGCGAACGCCGAACAAACGCATGACGTAATCGGTGAACAGGAAGAGGAAGAGAAGGCGGCGAAAGCGCGAGGAAGCCGTTCGACACATGCGGACGCCCTGTTGGCGTTGCGCCGAAGAGATCCACTGAAAGCCCGGCGGAGTTATCATCACAAGAGAGCCGACGTCGAGTTCGCGCGCTTCGATGAGCGCCAACGCCACCGGATTTCCGCCCGAATGACACACCAATGCGTTCACGCGATTCACCTCAAGTTTAAATGAATAAAGTTTTTCATAGAAAACTAAATAAGAAATGATTTTCACTTCTCTTTTCAATGAAAGACAACTCTTAAGGACTCACTCCGAGCGCCGCTGCGAAGGCCGTCACGAGAGCCGCGCGCTCTTCGTTCGAGTGCCAGAAGTGACCGGAAGTGCGGCTGAAGTGGAAGTCCGGAAGTTGCGGAACAAGGAGTCGGTATTCGCGGCCGAAGTGACGCACAAAAGGCTCCCAATCGATGATACCGCCGGGCATTCCGTGCAGCAGAAGAAGCGTGCGTTTCGTCGCGTCGTCGGGCGCGGTGTCCACGTATGAGATCACGTGACGCACGCCCTCCTCGGGAACGCTCTTCCAGAGGTCTTTGACGTCGCGCTGGAAGGGATGGTCTTTGCGGCGCAAACGGGCGTAGACTTCGCGGCCGAACAGCACTTCCGTCGTCCGCACAGCGAATCCCAAGCGCTCTTCCAGTTCTTCGTCTCCTAAGTCTGTCGTCCGTCGCGTCGCCCGAAACACGACAACCAGACGACAGACGACGGCAATGGCCGACGAGATCGCGACGACAATCGCAAACATTTCAAACGCCTTTCACCTCATATTTGCGTCAATTTATAGCAACGACTGTCGAAAACGTGTGCAAAAGTCGAGTACTTTTCAGTACTTTTTAGTGCTTTTGAGTCATAGAGGGCTCCAAAGGATGCGGACGTCGTTTGTGTGGAGAGGAGAGGCGTCTCCACTCATAAACAGTGTGAACGCAACGAAAGACCGGTTTTGATGATGTGGTCGCTGAAGACGCGGACCAACTCTCACTACAAACTCCTCCTCGACCTGTGGCTCGTGCTGATGGCCTTGANTCGCGTGGCCCGCCATCGAGGGCCGCCGAACGGTGCCCTCCGACCAGTGCTACATCCCGTTCCTCGAGTCCAACATTTGGGTCACGATATCGACGGCTCTGATCGCCTTCTGGCTCCCGGCGTCTCTCATGTGTGTCCTCTACTGGCGGTAAGTCATGAAAGACGATACTTTGCGACGACACTGACGTCTCTTTTGTCGCAGGATATGGCGCGAGACGGAACGGCGCTACAAAGACCTCACGGCTCTCGTGATGGTGTCCCACTCGCTGTCGTCGCGATCGTCGCACACGTCCACGTCGTCCACGTGTTGGCAGAAGTGTTGTGCGACGAAAGCGACGGCAGTGTCATCGCAGACGTCGATCGCGGCGTCCGGCGAGACTCCGCCCACCTCTGAGTCCATCTACACGATTGTCATCCAATTGGACGTCAATTGCGAGCACTCGGCGACCGTCACGATGCTGAACGGCGCGCAGGAGGAGGCGCCGCCCTCGCCGCCGCCCACTCGCATCC